TAAGTGTAGATTTGTAAGGGTGTTGGTGTTCCCTACACCAATATAAGTGTAGATTTGTAATGGTGTTGCTGTTCCCTACACCAATATACAACGTAAGTGTAGATTTGTAATGGTGTAAGTGTCCTTACACCAATATAAGTGTAGATTTGTAATGATGTTGGTGTTCCCTACACCAATATAATTGTAGATTTGTAAGGGTGTTGGTGTTCCCTACACCAATATAAGTGTAGATTTGTAATGGTGTGAGTGTCTTTACACCAATGTAAGTGTAGATTTGTAAGGGTGTTGGTGTTCCCTACACCAATGTAAGTGTAGATTTATAATGGTGTGAGTGTCTTTACACCAATGTAAGTGTAGATTTATAATGGTGTGAGTGTCTTTACACCAATGTAAGTGTAGATTTATAATGGTGTGAGTGTCTTTACACCAATGTAAGTGTAGATTTATAATGGTGTGAGTGTCCTTACACCAATATCATATAATTGTAGATTTGTAATGGTGTGAGTGTCTTTACACCAATGTAAGAGAAGATTTGTAAGGGTGTTGGCGTTCCCTACACCAATATACAACGTAAGTGGAGATTTGTAATGGTGTTGCAATTGGTGTTCCCTACACCAATGTAAGTGTAGATTTGTAATGGTGTGAGTGTCCTTACACCAATATCATATAATTGTAGATTTGTAATGATGTTGGTGTTCCCTACACCAATATAATTGTAGATTTGTAAGGGTGTTTGACTTCTCAGTGTCAATGTAAATTTTTAATGGTGCGCAAGTAAAACATAAATAGCAGCAGAAAATCTCTAAAACATTCCTGATCCTTGCTCCATTAACTGCCTTTATTCGAACACCAGATTTTGTAGATTTAGTTTAATGCTACATCAAAGAGCTGGCTGCTTAGAAATGTAGACAAACATCCATTGCTAAACGTTTATATATCATAAAAAAATAAGCAGACACTTCTTAAATCTTTTCTTTGTAAGACAGGTATTTTGATGATTTTCTTTTAACAAAATATGAAGAACAGTGATGTGTGCAGATGACGGTAAAAACAGGATGTGAACCAATAATTTGATTGCTTAAAACTCTTACTTCCTCAATTATATAAAGTTTGTTAGTTGTCGGTGTTAATAGACACACAAAATCATGTTTTGCTGTTTACTCTCTCTTGATAAACTTTTTATATCAGATTGTAAACACTAAACTTATATTCAGTAAAACCTTGAATTGTTATACTGCCAGTACTTTTCCAGCCCAATGTTGGCATTATATAGGATTTTGGTGATATATTAATGGAGACTTATAAAAGAGCATGTGACACAAGAGGACTTTAGGCCCTGTATCACTTACCTGTCTCTATTACTATGTGAACATCAGCCCCAAGGAAAGCTTCAACCTTTTACAGTCGATTCCCAGGTCCCAAACACCATTGACGCTTATAAATAGCACTTTGGGTTGAGATCTGACTTGTATATATATACAGGGAAGGAATCTCAAACATTGGATTTCCATATGATACATGAACTTGTCCTGGTAACATCATTGTGTTCATCTTTTCATGCCTTGCAGACAGTGATATGGTTATAAGTTTGGGATCTTAACTATTTAAAAGTTTATAATGACTTGAAGACACTAATGGTCCAAAGTGGCCAGCCGAACCCCAGGACAAACATGGTAGCATCTGTATGCCTGTCTCTTCATGTCTATCAATGGTTGTAGGGTGGGGATCTAATTCATTAACATGCTTTGACCCAGGGACCAAGTTTCCAATGGCCAGACTCCTGGACAAATCCAACTGGTACGATGAGTATACTTGTCACACAAGTCTCAAGGGAAGTGGCTGGACCCTGTACCCGATCTTGGTAGTATGTATCAGTTGTCTCTTCCAACCACAGAAGTATACGTATCTGTTAAAAAGGTGGAGATCTCAATTGTCTCTATGTTATGGCCCAGGGGTTAAGTGCGGCTGGACATCTGAACCAATCATTGTAGCATGACTATGTTCATCTCTTCATGCTGAGCAAAAGTATATATAGTTAAAGGCAGATGTCTCAATTGCCCAGGTTATAAATGAAACACTAAGCCCAAACAGTGATGCCAGACTCTGAGGCAAACCATGAAATCAGTAAAGTGTTTTAGTCTCATCATGACCAAGATGGAAAATCATATTGAGGTTTTATTTTAACATACAAACCTTATTTCATACATTTTTGCACATGTGTATACACTACTAATATATTACACAAGCCTGTTATTTTACTTAACATACAAAGCTAATACATTTTTGACATTTTACTTTGAGTTTTACAAACATAATATATATTTCAAATATATCTGTGTATTATACAAACCTAATATTTTACTGTCGCCTTCATTTTCCTGTGAGTTGCCATGCTGGTAGAACCATCCAGAGAACCCCAAGTTGAACTTGAACCCTTGAACCTGCTGCTGAAGTCTTTCTTGAGCTTGCACCACAGCCTGTGAAAATATCAGCAATGTTCTCAAATGCACTGTATCAATGGATTTGTTCAGAAGTAAGGATATAAAGGTGTATTGAGGGTTAAGAGAGGAGGATATATTTATTGAGATGTAAGGATATGTGTATTGAGGGTTAAGAGAAGAGGAGATATGTATTGATATGTAAGGATATGTGTATTGAGGGTTAAGAGCGGAGGATATATTTATTGAGTTGTAAGGATATGTGTATTGAGGGTTAAGAGAGAAGGATAATGGATTTGTTCAGAAGTAAGGATATAAAGGTGTATTGAGGGTTAAGAGAGGAGGATATATGTATTGAGCTGTAAGGATATGTGTATTGAGGGTTAAGAGAGGAGTATATATTTATTGAGATGTAAGGATATGTGTATTGAGGGGTAAGCGTGGAGGATATATTTATTGAGATGTAAGGATATGTTTATTGAGGGTTAAGAGAGGAGGATATATGTATTGAGCTGTAAGGATATGTGTATTGAGGGTTAAGAGAAGAGGATATATTTATTGAGTGGTAAGGATATGTGTATTGAGGGTTAAGAAAGGAGGATATATTTATTGAGATGTAAGGATATGTGTGTTGAGGGTTAAGAGAGGAGGATATATTTATTGAGTTGTAAGGATATGTGTATTGAGGGTTAAGAGAAGAGGAGATATGTATTGATATGTAAGGATATGTGTATTGAGGGTTAAGAGAGGAGGATCTATTTATTGAGATGTAAGGATATTTGTATTGAGGGTTAAGAGAGGAGGATATATGTATTGAGATGTAAGGATATATGTATTGAGGGTTAAGAGAGGAGGATATATTTGTTGCGATGTAAGGATATGTGTATTGAGGGTTAAGAGCGGAGGATATATTTATTGAGTTGTAAGGATATGTGTATTGAGGGTTAAGAGAGGAGTATATATTTATTGAGATGTAAGGATATGTGTATTGGGGGTTAAGAGAGGAGGATATATGTATTGAGATGTAAGGATATATGTATTGAGGGTTAAGAGAGGAGGATATATGTATTGAGATGGAAGGATATGTGTATTGAGGGTTAAGAGAGGAGGATCTATTTATTGAGATGTAAGGATATGTGTATTGGGGGTTAAGAGAGGAGGATATATGTATTGAGATGGAAGGATATGTGTATTGAGGGTTAAGAGAGAAGGATATATTTATTGAGATGTAAGGATATGTGTATTGGGGGTTAAGAGAGGAGGATATATGTATTGAGATGTAAGGATATATGTATTGAGGGGTAAGAGAGGAGGATATATTTGTTGAGATGTAAGGCTTTGTGTATTGAGGGTTAAGAGAGGAGGATATATGTATTGAGATGTAAGGCTATATGTATTGAGGGTTAAGAGAGGAGGATATATTTATTGAGTTGTAAGGATATGTGTATTGAGGGTTAAGAGAAGAGGATATATTTATTGAGATGTAAGGATATGTGTGTTGAGGGTTAAGAGAGGAGGATATATTTATTGAGATGGAAGGATATGTGTATTGAGGGTTAAGAGAGGAGGATATATTTATTGAGGTGTAAGGATATGTGTATTGAGGGTTAAGAGAAGAGGATATATTTATTGAGATGTAAGGATATGTGTGTTGAGGGTTAAGAGAGGAGGATATATTTATTGAGGTGTAAGGATATGTGTATTGAGGGTTAAGAGAGAAGGATATATGTATTGAGATGGAAGGATATGTGTATTGAGGGTTAAGAGAGGAGGATCTATTTATTGAGATGTAAGGATATTTGTATTGAGGGTTAAGAGAGGAGGATATATGTATTGAGCTGTAAGGATATGTGTATTGAGGGTTAAGAGAGAAGGATATATGTATTGAGATGGAAGGATATGTGTATTGAGGGTTAAGAGAGAAGGATAATGGATTTGTTCAGAAGTAAGGATATAAAGGTGTATTGAGGGTTAAGAGAGGAGGATATATTTATTGAGGTGTAAGGATATGTGTATTGAGGGTTAAGAGAAGAGGAGATATGTATTGATATGTAAGGATATGTGTATTGAGGGTTAAGAGAGGAGGATATATTTCCCACTGAAGATGTTATATAGCTGGTACATCCAGGGAAAGTTGTACAGGAAGGCTTATAAGGCAACCAAGTCCTCTTACGTCGGTATGCTCACTGGCGGTGTAACATAACCTCTAATAACAGGCATGACATATACCAGATGATAGGTATATAAATGTGTTGGAGCCAAGTTATTCTAACACCTGCAGGTAAAATTGGGCTTTAACATTTTTCATTTAGTAACTTTGACATTCGTTTTTTTTCTCACTTAGGTAATAACTGTTTCATTGTAGAAATATACAAATTAAAAGGACAGAACAGAACACGCCTTTTGGATGAATGGTTTATGAAAGAGGTCTTTCTACTAAATACAAAATACTATAAAAAAATAAATGAAATTTGATTAACCCTGAAGATGCACATCATAATTAACACTCAACATAGAGATACACATCGATCATCACCACTGAAATAGTAACAAGATACCACTGAGATAGTAACAAGATACCACTGAGATAGTAACAAGATATGACTGAGATATTAACATAAAACTGATGTACTGTATCTAAAACATTTCAGCTGAGAAAATAATACATCACCACTGAGACCACTGAGATAGAAACAAGATATCACTGAGATAGTAACAAGATACCACTGAGATATTAACATAAAACTGATGTACTGTATCTAAAACATTTCAGCTGAGAAAATAATACATCACCACTGAGACCACTGAGATAGAAACAAGATACCACTGAGATATAAACAAGATACCACTGAGATAGTAACAAGATATGACTGAGATATTAACATAAAACTGATGTACTGTATCTAAAACATTTCAGCTGAGAAAATAATATATCACCACTGAGACCACTGAGATAGAAACAAGATACCACTGAGAGATAAACAAGATACCACTGTGATGGTAACAAGATCCAAATGAGAGAGTAAAAAGATACCAGAGATAGTAACAAGATACCACTGAGACAGTAACAAGATACCACTGAGATATAAACAATATACCACTGTGATAGTAACAAGATACAAATGAGATAGTAAAAAGATACCAGAGATAGTAACAAGATACCACTGATATAGTAACAAGATACCACTGATATAGTAACAAGATACCACTGAGATATTAACAAGATACCACTGAGAAATTAACAAGATACAACTGAGATAGTAGCAATATACAACTGAGATAGTAACAAGATACAACTGAAATAGTAACAAGATACAACTGAAATAGTAGCAATATACAACTGAGATAGTAACAAGATATCACTGACATAGTAACAAGATACAACAGAGATAGTAACAAGATACAACTGAGATAGTAACAAGATACCACTGAGATAGTAACAAGATACCACTGAGATAGTAACAAGATACCGAAGATATCACTGAGATAGTAGCAATATACAACAGAGATAGTAACAAGATACCACTGAGATAGTAACAAGATACCGAAGATATCGCTGAGATAGTAACAAGATATGACTGAGATAGTAACAAGATATCACTGAGATAGTAACGAGATACAACTGAGATAGTAACAAGATACTACTGAGATAGTAACAAGATTGTAACACACTTCCACAGAGAAAGTAACAAGGTACCACTGAAATTGTAACACTACTACTGAGATAGTAACAAGATACCACTGAGATAAAACAAGATACCACTGACTGAGATAGTAACACATAACCACTTAGATAGTTATACTTCCATTGAGATATAAATACAAAAAAATTAACAGAGAAAGTAACATATCACCAGTATCAAGCACCACTGGGAAAGTGACAAATAATCCTCACACTTCTTTAAAAACATTGTGTGTATTGCACTTATATAATTCGGTTAACAAAGGTGTAAATTTAATTCCATAGGTAGATAAACGACATATACATATACATGTACTTTCTATAGTAATACATACTTGGAAAGACAAAACATTGCCCCTGAAAAGTGTGTGTCCCCTTGGGAAATTACCTCTCTCAAATTATCACCCTTTACTAAATAAACAACAATAGCAGATGACCGACTGTCCGAAATCTACAGTGTACTTGTTGATTTCTCATTAAAACCTGACATTGAGTTATCATTAATTTCTCTGTGTTTTCATTTTTATCCTGTAAAATAAACAATTTATGACCTTGATGGAAGGGAGATATGAAGATTTGTTTATCATCAGAAGTCAGATGTATACTATTCTGGTTTCACCCTAGGGAAATATGACTGCTTCAGGTAAACAAACTTTCATATCGCCTTCGCACCAGGGTCACACAAATCTATATTATCTAATTAGAGAGACCCAAGTTTAAAACTGTAGGCCTGTCTTGTTGACTAATTAATAAGTGTATATAAAGAGACAGAATGGTGCCTTTTTTACATTCAGTATTTGTACTTATCACCCTTCCAATTTGTCATCATTACATGGTACCATTCTGTACTTTTACTAGGTGAGGTTATTACACAGACATACATTTCTCATCGCTAGTTCTTTACAGGTACCCGTGGTTGTTTTGAAACGCAAAACTGTTCATGATCAGATCCCAATAATCATCTTTGTATGTTCATGTATACATGCCTTCCCAAGGAATGCTCTTCAGTTTATTTTCATTAAAACTTCTATTTCTAATGAATGTAGAGACTTATCCACAACAGTATTTTTATTTTCCCAATGAAAGATGTCTAGGCATAACACAATTGCTATCAATCTTGCATGTAAACTAATTCAGCTTGTACTCGTTCACATTCCCATACCGATGATTAAAAACTATTTACACCAATACATTAAACACATAAGCACCAGCCCACGTTTGAGCACAATGTAATTGTTTTAATTTATAGTCTGAATTAAAGCACCCTTTATTTAATGACAGGGCATTAAATCTAGATTGAAGACTCTCATGCACATGTAGTTGTCTATTTTTTAAGAAGATTGTAGGTACTCTGATT